GGGATGTGCCTGGGAGTGAAATGGCACCCGCTGAGGTGGGGGCACAGCCTCCGTGCTCTGGCAGCAGCTAACAGGCTGTCCTGGGGGGGGGGGGGGGGCTTGACCAAAGAGAATGGCAGCAGAAATGGCACTCATCTAGACTTCCTGAATAGAAAGTTCACGTATCATGGAATTCTCACTGAGAAATACTTCTATTGTCAAACATTTATACAGAATAGGTCTGGAAAAAATACTTCTCTCAATAAGTTAAAATGTAGAAGACAATTTATCAATCAACCTGACCTCAAACTGAGTTTATTAATAGACAGCCACTTAAATTGCTGAAATAGGGTAATCATATGCTATATGATGCTCATTTCAGTCAACTATCTTCTTTCTAGATTTTGAGATATCTGAATAGTTTTCAAAAATAATTTCATAAAGGATATACCGAAGAATCCCAAATGGGTAGCAATGCCACCAGGCATTATTAGGATTTTTACAATTGGGCATAGTAAATGGTCTACTGTCCAGAAAATATTTATATTGGAGGGAACTAAAGTAAATAATATATAAATCCATATGTGAGGTGAATTAACTGAGCTACTCTCAGCCTGACAGTGCTACTATACATATTGTTGGAAGGAGCAAACCCCTGGATATTCATAACAGAAAATTTTCTTTCACTACTTTTACTCAACAGAATCTAGGGGTGCTAAGTACAGTTCTAGTTGGCAAGGTAGTTTTCTCCTATTCGGAGAAGTTATTGCTTTACAATCTATACCTGTAAAATACTTTTCATGAACAGGAATTTCATCATCTGTAGTACTCAGCCTGCTAACATCATAACATAAAGCTTGCCATTCCAAAAAAAAAACAGAGGTAAACATGTAGAACCTGTATAAATGACTCAGTAGTTGCTCCTTTTGAAAACAATAAAAGGCAAAAGGATTACCGGTTTATCATACTACAACAAACTTTCCAACTAAATCCATATTTTCAGAGCTTGTGCTTTTTAATAATTATATCAATTCTTTAAATAACAATAAAGTACTATAATCCCAACAGAATACAAATGAAGATTTTCGGGAAGAAGACTTACATGAGCTTTAAAGTACAAATAATTATAGCACACTAAAATAATTTCAAAAATCCTAAAAAATAAAATGTAAATAATATTTAACACTTTATTTTACAACACAATATTCAAAATGAATGAAAGAATGATTTTTTTCCTTAGGTCTTTTTGAAACCACATGTTCCAAAGTGAATTGCAGAAACACTTCAGCTTCACAAATAGTATTAAAATAAACAGGCATAGTGTGATATATATAGTTCTTTTATTTGAAAGCTTATTCTGAATCTTCACATTTTTATAAGGAAAGAGATTTATACCCTTAGAGATGGTGTTTCTGTCTGTGCGATTATGAGATGAAAAGTAGCACATTTTCTCTCTCCCTTTCATTTGTTCTCTACATTCAAGCAAGTGTCTATGTTTGTATCAATTCAGGGTCCCCAAATCCTGGACTGAAGGCTGGTACCATCCATGGCCTGTTAGGAACCAGGCCACACAAGGTAAGCAAAGCTTCATCTACACATGTGCAGGATCTAAGTAGCACGCAAAACCATCTCTCCTCCCCCCCCCCCCCCCACTCCCCAGTTTGTAGAAAAATTGTCTTCCACAAAACCAGTCCCTGGTGCCAAAAAGATTGGGTAATGCTATATTAATGTATAGATAAATATGCATTTGTTTAAATGAAACTATAAAATTCATCAACAAAATATCTTCCTCTAACTCAAAATTACTGACATAAACTAGGATTGTATTTTCTATGTACAAACATACTGATAAGAAAGCCAAGAGACATTCAGGTTTTAGATGACAAAATAAAATTGATACGCATTTTTTTCAGCTTGATATCTATGTACTTTCCCAAATTACAACAGCAGTATTTTGTTGTTTTTAAATCCAAGTACTAAGTTGAATCTTGTGAATGAGTTGAATTCAATAATATGGGAATAAATTTTACCATTTTCTTTATATAATCCCTAGTGCCTCAACTCATGATATAAATAATTAATAATTCTTATCAATTAATGATGAAAAACCACCTAACAATGGCCAACTCATATAGAAGATTCTGGAAACTCAACCATCAAGAACCCTACTGAAATGATGCAAAGAGATTAAAACAAGTTTGACTGTTATAGAACAAATACCTTAATAATAAATAAATTTGGCAAACTATAGCTTCATAAATCCATAAAATGCTCAAACTAGTCCAACAAAAATAATATCTTAACTATAAGAATGGGCACTGAGAAAATCAAATAGAAGACAATATTAACTGATGGAAAGAAAAAGGTTGAAATGTAACTTCAAATTATTAGTATGTGTGTAGTTTGTTTATGTATAAGATTTGCATCAACTTCTGCTTTTTAAAGAAACAAATGACCATCAATAGTAGGTAATGCCATAAAACAAACAAAGGAGAAGGCAAGAGATACAAAATAGAACTCCTCCCTCCCCCCAAAAAAACCAGTTTAGAAAGGAACCTAGCAACTATTCTGTAGATGCTTATATCAATAAAAAATGTGATCATGTTTTAAAAGACTGTAAGACTAGCACCGAATCTCTTTCCCATAGAGCTTCCAAATCAGGATACCACTGAGAAGAAATAATTGGTACATTTTACTTCATAAACAGATGAAGCGACATTCAGGAGAGCATTCATTCATTCACTCACTCACTCTCTCTCTGTCACACACACCAGTGGTGGGTTACGACTGATACGCCCCGGTATGGGCATACCGGTGTCTGCCGGGAACACCAGGTACTGTTCTGGTATGGTGCTCCGGAGGCCCCACCCACTTGCCCACCTGTGCTCCTTACCGGTATTTGAGGTTTTCAGGGGTTCTGTGCACGTGCATGGAGCGTACGGCGACGTGAGTGTCATGGAGGCATAGCGGAGCATCGCAGGTGGAAAGTACGCATGCGCACGCTG